TTAAAGCATTGCTAAGCGGTAACTAATAAAGAATGAATAAAAAGCTATTAATCAAACTCCTGTCATATACGCTTATAAACTTCAACTGAACTCAAAAGTCGTTAATCTAAACAAAAGTCATACGGCGTGGAAACAGAATGCAAAGACAATGTCGCTTTCATAACACATTACTCCTCTGGCAAAATGACGGAAAAGACTAAAACGATATACACTACTGAGTTACATATAATCCTGTCAATCATGAACAAAAGCTTGCGATATCAAACAATACGTCTATAAGCGCACCAAACTCTCATCTCAAAAAGACATTAAAAAACGTTACAAAGGTGCTCTACAAAACTCAAAAAGCGTCAGAAGTATTCCGGAAAACAACACATAAACAACAACAACTCTTAAAACGTCGGTATCTCTGTACTCGACAAATCTCAAAACTCTTAAAAACTCATTGGGGCATTACTTTCCCCATCATAATCCGTACTCATAAACTCATTAAAACTCCATAAAACTTCACAAAACTCAAAACACTGTGTTGCAAATACTTGTCCACTGAGGCGCGCTTAAATCGTTATAAAAAGGACCTCGCACGTCACTAAATATCACTTCGAAACAAAGATCTGGGCGCTTACATACATACAATTCGACATCACAAAAAAACGGTAAGAAAAAAGATAGAAAAAGCAAACAATACATTACATTACTAAGCAATAGGGTTAGGGTTCTGGAAAAGAGTTCAACGTCCTTGAGTTACACAGTGTCAGTTACAGTGTCCAGCGAGCGATTCTCTAAGCAATACACAGATAGCTAAAGTCAAAGTCTATAAGCGTCTCCTCTTTTGTCGCGTTATTCCGGGTCGTTCTTTTTCTTCATCTTGTCTTTAATGTCGCTCAATTCTTAATTATACAGTCCTATCCGGTACTCATCCTTCATAAGGGGTTCAGAGGTCTTCATCTTTTCAGCGTCGTTCATCGGTGCCATACTGTTAACGATGTTAGTCGTCAAGCGCGGTTTCTGAATCGTCTCTGCCATGGAGCTGTTAGTTCGGTTCACAAGAAAGACACCTCTTCGTCATTTCACTTTTCTTCACAGGATGATAATGTGTGTTAAACACCTGCCCGGATTCTCCACCACGTATCAGGGGTAAATCTTCTTTCTCTCGGGTTCTCCACACTTGTCAGGGGGGGAACTCGTCTCGTCTCTATACCTCGTCCCCTTGAGGTACGGGATCGGGAAAGTCACTTTAACTTTACAGTCAAATAAGACACACACAACGAAATACGTTTCAGCTCTCGTCTTAGTCGATCTTTTGGAGCACTCTATAAGACACAGCGCCCTGGGGAAAAGTCCCCAAGACTCTCGCAAGGCTGACCCAAGACTAGCCCAAGACTGGACTGCCTCAAGGCTCGCCCCTGGACTCTCTTGGACTCTCGACTGCCCAGGACTGCTCTCTCTCTCTACTGCGTCTATCGTGCTGTATTCGCCAAGACCAACTCAAACTCTCTTTATTCATTTTCAAAACTCTAACCAATTACAAAACAGTAAAAAGACTCTAGGGCGTAACCTTCAATCATAAAGCCAATCAAATTAAGTACTGAATACGTCATATCTTTTGATTAATCGTTCACTACATTAATAACTATGGATACCAACTGTCAGAATCGCGACGGTTATCTGGTAATTAGTTTCAAATCACTGAGCCAAGTTCCGTCCAAAACTTTAAATAGGCCTAAACGATGACAGACATAACACAGCAATTCGCTCGTAATCAACTAATTAAGTCGGTTAACAGATACGCGAAAACAAATTCATGACAGAATCATGCATCGGTGACGAATTAAAGAAACTATATATTTGGAGATGTCCTGCTACTGACAAAGCAGATATCTTGTGAATACTGTAGCTGTTGCATTTATTACAGTATACATATTACAGGCCTCAAACTAAATTTTGCCGACAATACAAATTTAATATCCAAGTAAAAAGAATTTGCAACCACCAAACAACGATCTGCTATTTATGATTTGGTCTCTTATGGGGATACAGGTCTTTGTTTTCTCCTTTGACGGGATGCAGATCCTTTTGGTCTGTTGTGAGAAGATGCAGCCACCTTGATTAATTATGACTGGATGCAGGTCTTGTTAGTTTCATCCTATGGGATGCGGGGTTTGTTTAGTTTCTTCTGAAGAGATGCAATTCGTTTATCATACAGCTTAGTATGTGAACTATCAAATTTAATTTGGAGAAACAGATACAGATATGAAGCTGAACTAGAAACTCCGTTTTATTGTAACTCAAGTATCGTAATTGTTGAGTCTCTTGACAAGTTTCTCTTTTTTCGACTTAACAAAAGATTTGATAAAATCAGCCTCATATGAATACAAGGATAAATCTGTTGGATTCGTACCCATTATAACGTCAATAGTCTGTCTAAATACTAATTCATTAGACTTGACAAATATACTGTCAATGAGAAAATTAAACATAACTTCCATGTTTTGGCTAAAATATGCATTATGACGAAAGATTTATACCTTTGTGTACTATTCTTTTAATATAAGGTCTGCTTTACCAATGAAGCTAATCTTGGCTTATTTTGTGGTATACTAGTGTGTAATGCAGCAAAATTAAAAGTAATTATGATATTTAAATCATTAAAAAATAACTACCACCAAATGTTTTGAATTTTTCAAAATCTGTATCCGATCAATTCTACTTGTTTCAATGTCAATGTTCAATCAAGACCAATCCTGATATTGACTATTATGAACACCATTCTGTTAATCTATCTGAAAGCTGCTCACCTTGAAATAATCGCATACAGTCTTGATTCTTGTCACACTTGCCTGATTAGTTGACAACAAAATCTAGCCATGGACAATGCCGTGAAATAAATAAATATAACTTAGTAATGTTCTTTTGTTTATTGAAGTGCCACCTGTAACGATTTCGTCGGTCACAGTAACTTCGGACAGTTTATCCTTCTCTGTTGGAGAGACCAAAACATTGACATTGAATGTAACGCTTTCGTGCAGTTCCGGTGAGGTGACGGGAACTGATCTATATCTCATCAATGTATACATGGCAACAGATGATGTTGGATCAAACCCATCAACCAAGGAAGAGGCGACAATTGTAAATAATGACCAGACGCTCTCAGTTACTACAGATGCCGAACTGACAGGTGTGTTGGTTACCTTGACAACAGATTGTACTTCCTTTAGCCATGTGTGTGTAGACGTCGGACCTAGTGCTTCTGCCACATGGCAACTTGACGCAGGAGGCACTGGATGTGTTGCTATAGCAACGTGTATAGGTATGTACTTTTTATTGATAACGAATTTCATCAAATTTTCGGTTTAGAAAACGTGACGTCACTAACAATTGTGTGCTTTGTGTAATTAATGCCATTCTCGCGCTCCAGATCCAGTTCTTATATCTCAAGTCTCGGTCACGTTGGACAGTAGTGACGTCACTATTCAGCTGGGAGCAAGTAATATCGTAACAGTGGACATCACACTAACGTCGTCATCTGGTGATGACATCACGGGTGTTGACCTTTATAAAGCAATGGGATATTTGGCGTCTGGTGTCTCAGGCGACAACCCGCAACCACCGAACAAGGTAGAAGGGACGATACCAGACAACAGTGTAACATTGACATCAAGTACTTCTGCTACGTTATCTGGGATAGTTTTTGATTTTAACTTCAACGGATTGTCAAGTTGCGATGTTGATGAATCCAATATTTACGACAATATTTGTGTAGATGTGAGCCCAAGTGATTCGGCTAGTTGGATGTTACGGAGCAATAGTAATAACATGGGTTGTGTAACTGTGACCTGTCAGGGAGTTGTAACTACAGGTATGTAACCATAGGATTATTCTGAATATGTGTTTATTCATCAACATTGAGTGATCATCTGTGTGCGCCACAGAGCACGTATTTATCGTAAGCCTGATATGTAATGATTGTGAGGTTATTGCCACGCTCCAACATGGTCCGGCGTGAATTTTCTCTGCTTTTGATTACAAATGATATTGTAAAGGGATAGGGTTCAAAACATGTTTCAGTTTTATGGACATTTATGAATATTCATTTATAAACATTTATCCCGAAAGATTAAAATCTAAAGAAGATGCTTTTATTGGTCGTAGAATCCAATTATTGATTTCCATTTCCAGTTTTTGTAAGAACCTTTCAATCATTTACTGCCATGAACGCAAAAACGTACCGTTATTGTTTGGCACAGGTCATTGGATAGGGAAAGCAAGCCACTGTCAAGAGAGAGGTTACAGGTTACTTGACCGCAGTATACGAACGGCATTCAGCCGCCAATTTGTTTTCAATGCCATTTGAAATTTATAAATATTTTATATATTAAACAAATTCACACCTTTATGAAACCCGGTGTATACTTAACTCTATAAATGTTAGCATCACAAGAAGAGCGTACTGTACACCATTTATTCGCAATAGAACTTAGAGGTAAATGGCAGCCGAGATCTCGCTGTGAGGGAGAAATCCACAAGGGTTTGTTTTGGGCTTTAATTGAGGTTACAATCTCTTACATCAGTGATGAACAATATACGAATATAACCATGCAATTCGAACTCATCGTACCCAATGGCAATTAGCATTAGCACTTCTGTCACTTACCGGTGAGCGAAAACAATGTCGTTCACACTGATAGGCCGTGCATTGACGGACACACCACAGACTAAAACAAAGTCGACAATGTGTGCCTCACTTGTATTTCCGTCACAGATGAGCTTCGTCACTAAAGTCAGTGACTTACAGGAGCAGTGTATCAGGATGATGTTTCAGACCGTCTCGATTCAACGTTTCTTAGATAAGGCGACAAAATATCCTGCTGAATCATGACTTTGAAAATAAAAAAAAATCCTGGTTATACAGTCATTCTAAACACTGTCGGGGTTAAAACACGCTAATATTTGCCCTGCTACTAAAACTGAACATATATAAGAGTTGCGGGTTCAACTCCAACGAGGGCTAAGCATTTTCAATGCATGTCTTGTTAAAGTTTGTTGATGACGTAGCGAACAGGCTGCCCAATCGGTGAATAGATATGCAAATACGTACTAAGAAGTCGATGTCGCATAGTGGTGTTCTTTTTTCATGAGAATTTACACACATGGATCAGATTGCAAAGGTGAGCCCTTAATCCGATTTTAGATCTGCATGCCTATTGTAAAAGCCTACAACAATCATCTCAACTTTCTTCACTCTAATACACTTTTCCCGCACGCCCTCTGACGATGATGCGATTCTGTGACGTCAGAATGGCGTACTATGTACATGAGTGCCAGTAATGTCGCTCAAATAAAAAAAAATCGTTGATTGTGTAGTCGTTCATTATTTAGAATATTGTGAATCTCAAAGTATCTGTTGTCGGACGAGCACAATCAAAACAATATGGACGACGTTAGTTACACCTATTTACGGCACAGGGGCGATTTGTCGCTGGAGGGCGCTTCTATCGGGAAAGGTATGGAGTATTTGGGCAGCCTGTGGTTATTAGGTGTCATAAACAACAATTGTTTGACGCATCTTTGATATTTACTCATTTTTCTCTTTGCTTCTTAGTGGGAACGGTTGTTGTTTTTCAAACTACACTGAGCGTTGCAGTTCCTTTAGTGGTACAGGAGTTCAGTATTATGTACGACCAAAACAAAATCGACGTTGTACACAGTGACGTGGTGCTAACAATCATGGTAGATGTAACGATCGCATCGTCACCTATATCAAACGGAATACATGGAGATAAAAACTGGAAAATTGATATCTTTGCAGCAGAGACGGAAACTGGGCTGAATGCTACGGAATCTTTGCCGGTTACATTAAATAGTGAAGAAATATCTTATGATCTAAACCCTGGGGAAAATGTGATCTTCGAAGACGTCACAGTGACACTGCCTTTGACTAGCTGTGTGGGTACTGTCTACGCATGCGTTAAAGTTGAGCCTCACGTCGAAGCTGATTGGACCTTAGATATTGAAAACGCCGTTAATATCAAGTGTGAGCCAATAGAATGTTCACCTGCAGGTAATATAATGAATATCCCAGCGTGCTTTCAACGAACATATCCGAAATGGGATATTCAATAGCCGATCTTATAGAACGTGTAACCCGACACTGCCGATGCCGATGGAGCGTCACGATGTAGCTAAGCGATTCGGTGCCTTTGCCGTCAGTTCGAATCACTGTAGTACCATGGTAGTACTTACTCCCTGTCAAATTTCCCGTTAATTATTTGTCGTTCAATTCCCATGCAGACAATTTACTGCCCTTTACTAATGATATATGTACCTTATATAATATAATCAATATTTTGCATAATATAAGTCATTGCAAAATTACATCCATCGACCGTGAATAAAACCATGGTTTTCAGTTCATATCTATTACGATTTCTTGGTAGTTTGATTTCCTCTCATGCCACTCAGCATGTATAACTTTATTCACATTCGACGTGACTCGCACATTTAAAAATAACAATACTTGTTGAAAATTAATTTGTATGTTAATTATATTTAAATAACAATCTTAATGATTTTTATTTCATAGGAATACCAATCTCGAGGTGGTACTCCATACATATATTAATGACGTCAGTGGTTCTAGCAGTGACGTAATACCGATTCGCTGAGATCTAAGAAATCCAGTGATATTGCCGGATACGATGGTCAATATCTACCGTATTTAACCAGCCTCATTTCACAGTACGACAACTACCTCAATGTGAAACAGACATTTTTTCTGTCGCATGTCAACCGGAACATGCCGTCCAGACTGAATTTAATAAACATTAGATAATTATGTTCGTGCTTGAGCACTTGATATTTTTCAAGTCACACACAATAATGTGTCCGGTTTACCACAAATATGCGGTATGCAATAATGTATTATATATATATATATATATATTAGTAATATGTTTGAGAAGAATGCAGTATTACTAATGAATTAATTGAAAAATACGAGATGGGTTGATAAAAACTATCATCGTTTATAAAGATATTTTAACTTCAAATCCAACTTGTTGATTTCATGTCCGTTAACCGGTGGCAGCGGTAAGTAATCGGTGTATTTGAGGGGAACTGCAAAAACATAAATACAAATATCAAATTATTATTATATATATATATATTAATTAATTTTTGATTAATTTAATTAGTTACCCAATGCTTTATAATACCCCCAGTGTCATGGTTGTTGCCATGACTGTGCATGAAATGTAAACAAAATGCAGAATTAAGTCACGAAGTTTCATTAACTTTGAAACAAGTGTAATAATAATCTCATGACGTCATATCTCGACCATAATTATTGGTTATAAGATAATATAATGATATTTCATTTATATTTTACAAGTTTAAGAATATTTTCATGAAAATAAAATATACATATTCATATAAAGTTCGTGTTTAGTATTGAATGCAATTCATATTATAACAGTTCAGTCCACTCAGGTCAGGTATTGTGGCAGTAAAGTCTATTATAAACTCAGTCGACGGTGTAACTGCGGTAGTGGCTGTATCAAGAGTTGCGTTCACGGTATGTGTGGCGTTATCTCCATCTACGGACGTAGCGAGAAACATCTCAACAGCAAACGCAGCGAGCGGCAGATAGGCCGTTTAAGTGTTGTCTGTCGTAGTTGTAGAAATCTCAAGATCGGAAGTTTTTGATGTTCCATATATTATGTCAATATCAGCGCCACTGGGCTCAGTCAAAGTCGGCACCCCACTATCATCTTCTATAATGATGCCTAGGCAAACATTGAGAGAGACATTGTGAACACAGTTGAAAAAAAAATTACAATATTTTGTTTTTAGTACTTATTTAAATATACGTTCACTCGACATGGTCCAATGAACTGACACTCTAATTGGATATATAATCAAGAAAGGGTTATTTATTTATTTATTTATTTATTTATTTATTTATTTATTTATTTATTTATTTATTTATTTATTTATTTATTTATTTATTTATTTATTTATTTATTTATTTATTTATTTATTTATTTATTTATTTATTTATTTATTTATTTATTTATTTATTTATTCAATCATTCATTCATTCATTCATTCATTCATTCATTCATTCATTCATTCAGACTAGTAATGATGACAACAATGTTCGGTCAAAAATATTGAGAGTAAAACAAACTGACCATGTAGCTCAAAAAATGACTGACGAGCCAATGTGACACATTGACATCAAAATGATGGTAACCCGTTCACAACCACAATTTACAAAAGCGGCCTGTGTAACACCTGGGCAATATAAGTCCAGTCTAAACGAAGCGATGGAGATTCAATTGGAATACGAGAGCGAGCCAAATAGTCGGCAAAGTAGTTTGTGTAGTGTTAGTATGTTAGCTCGTAATACGAGCCCAAACTTGATGGGCATTTTGGCCGAGGTCATCTAAACACTGCCACGTTATCTATATGTGATTTGATCGTAGTAAAGATTGGATTCAAAACTAGATATTTAGTATATATAAAGTACTGTAGGGTAGCATCCTGATTGGTCGAAGCTCACTAGAGAGTGATAAGCAGTAATTGTGGCACAATATTGTGTGTACAACTGGTCGAGTTTCACCAAATCAAAACAATAATCAATAGGTCATTCACAAATCATCGAAAACACATTGGGTGTTAATCATCAATGTTGTTTTCGTCAGATTATGCTAATTACTAAGTACTTAATTGGTAATATTCCAGTCAGTGAAGCACAGACAGCACCAATTTGTAAATGTGATGAATTGAAAAGCATAAAAATAATTAAATATGATCTGAATTCCACTTCTCCCAACAAATGACAGGCTTTCCGGAGGAAAACCCTGTTCAATTTACTGGAGCTAAGGGAACATATTCAATTTACTGGAGCTATGGGAATATGTTCAATTTACTGGAGCTAAGGGAACATG